GTATGACTTTATCATCAGGTTTTTATCTTTGGGTTTAAGTTTTTCTAAATAAAACCTAAAAAAAAACCTTTAAAAAGTAAAAAAAATAAATAAATAATGCATGTTTCAAGGTAAATAATTTATTTGTTAGAGAACAACTTCTTCAACGTAATTTTATTTTGCTCCCTTCTTCAGGTGTTGCTACAGTGAACAAACATTTGGTTTTACGCTGGATGTCATTCCTGAGCTCGAACTTAGAAAACGACAGAACTGACCATCAAACTACTGCAGTMCCCTAGATGTTTCGCTGTTTTAAAAAAAAAAAAGAAAAAGAAAACCTCAAGCACTCTTTTATAACTTTACAGACACTTGAATTTGCTCAGCTTGCTCTAACTCTTTTAAGAAGCGTACAAAAAGTAAGTGATCAAAAGGTTGCAAGTCAATTGCTTATTCTATGAGAGTGTTTTGTGGTTTTTGTGCCCCCCCATTCACAGCACGATGACGGCCTGGGGTAAACTCTGCGGCTGATAATTGACTTGTGACGAATACCTCTGTTTGTTCTGAGCGGTCTCTGGGTGACTGGGAGCCGGGCGTTGAGCTCTATGAGAGGGCTGTTTGGTTTTTGAGCTGCACTGTGGTCACGTAATAAAGCTGGAATGAAAGGAGGGGTCTTAACCCCCCACCACACCCCACACACACACACCCCTTAAAAAATGTTTCATTAAGTCCATTTCCGCACAATGGCAGTGGCAGAGAGGACCCATAGAGAGCCTGCTCTTCACTCATCAATGTGTTTATTTAGGCAGGAAGCATCTTCCCGCAAAGCTCTCTCTCTCTACAGAGGAAAGTTGTCTTCGTACCGGAGAGAAAACCGAGGGAAAAGTTCTGGCGGGATTTGGATCAGTGTATAACTTTGGCTTAATCGGATTCTTGTGGAAAACCAAAAGAAACTTGGGATTAACTCAAGTTGTTGAAACTCTTAAGTGCTTTTGTCTCGTGCAAACACCAAAGTCTTGCAGTAGAGAAGGGACCCCCACCCCCCCTCTCCTGAACCCAAGGCTTTAATATTGGCACATCAGTACCTTCCCCACAAGAATTCATAAACTAAAAGATTAGCCTCTGCCTGTAATTGCACTCTCCTTTGCCTAATAGAGGAGGTGAGGTAAAGAAGGCAAAAAAACCAAAACAACAAAGGACAGTTAATTTGTGATTTCCTCTGCTCATTTGAAGGCAAATTAAGTGTCAAACAGCTAATATAGAGCATATTTCATTTTATGAGCTTTTAATTTAATTCCACCGCCTCATATCGCTGGAGCCTGTTAGCCGCGCTGCTAACGCCCGCTCCTCGTCTGAAAACGAGGGGCCATAAATAAACWTGTTTCAATTAGGCCCTTCACCGTAATAGGATGTGATTCTGTTCATTTGCCACGTACGGATGGTGGATGTGTCGTGGCGGCGGAGAGAAAACAAGCTGCTGGGCATTTGCGGTGTTTTTCTATCCGGCGTCGGAAGCCTCGGTGGTGGCTGGGTCGTGCGCGGCGGCGGTGGGGGGGAGAAGCTGACTGGATTGATGGAGCTGCCGCGGGGCCAACCCAACTGTAATTACAGGCCGTAATGAGAGGTTGCATGGGGAAGTACCGCAATAATGGTCCCTGTGTACTTAGGCATATCTTTGAGAGGGCTAATAACGATTAATTCTGCACACGGAGGAGAACTTGTCTTAAAACAATTCAATATTTCTCCCTAAGCTGCCTCTTGTCCTCTATTTCCCGGAAACGACAGCTACACATTGACTGACTTTTTCTTTTTTTCCTCTCTCTGGGCCAGCTACAAGCTGCATTACCAAGTGGAGTGTGTGTTGCTTGAAGCCCTTTACTCGTGAAGTTCCACCACAGCTCGAACCTGCAGGAAACCCGGGCGCACAATTAACTTCCATTTGCCATCAGGTGGTTGYTGTAAAACCATATTTGATGAGCACTTCTTCTCACCGGGGAACACGGTGCTGCGTTTTTAATCAACTGCGCACCATTGCTGCTAGGCTCTGAAGGAGGTTCGAGCGCGTGAGCTCACAGATGAAAGTGGACGACAGTGAGACTCACAGAGTCAATTTTAATAGGTCTGGTTACTCAACGGCCGCCTTATAATCGTGACAAATAGTTTCCCCTCAGCTTGGCATGTCGTATTAAACGGCGTGGAGCTTAATGGTTCGGATAAAAAGRCCTTAAGTAACGCGGCAGAGCATGACGGTATCTCCGCTGACAGCGTGCAGGTAGCTCCTGTCCAAACGGAGTGACTGAAGACACCGCCRCCGTGTAATTTCCCCACCACCACCACCACCCCACACTTAATTCAATTCCCCGGCTCAGTGTTGTCCCCTCTGCTCATTTTTTCCCGTCTCCCTCCCTAACCTGTGCTCCACGTCATTCCAAAGTGTTCCTGACGGATAACAAGCCCCGGCTGTTTGTTTGAGCCTACGTTTCCTCGCGCGCGTTCGCCCCCATTATCTCCACATAAGCTAAATACTAAATTATATTTGCCATTTTGTTTTGCGGTGACAGAGGGCATCAATCAACCTCCCTCTGTTTTGTTTTGTTTTGTTTTTTTTATATAATTTCCTTTTCTTCCTCAGCCGCAGCAGGAGAATGAGAGGTTGAGAGGTGGGGTGGGCCGGAGGTGGAGGGGTACATAAAAAATTCATTACGCTTAGTGGCACATCAGCAAGGGAGAGATATGACTCCTGGAGGAGGAGGGGGGGCTGAWAATGATGAAGAACATCAAACATAATGCGGCCCAAGTAGCTGCCCCGTCCAATTTGTCCTTGTCGCGACGTGATCGCTTCCTTCGTGTCTGCGCCTGGGAAACAAGCAGCGCGAGGACAATGAAGCGTCTCCTCGCTCCGCACAGGGTTTGGATGCAAAGAATACAAATGATTAAAGGTGAGGMGAGACAAAAGAAAGAGTTGAAGAGGTTGGGTAAAGTGAGTTGAAGTGCTTTGAAGTGCTCGGCTGGCCCGCTGAGCACCACCACAAGCACTCCAGGGGGCTACGAGAYGCTAAAAGTTGTACAATTCAGAACAAACTAACTCGTTCTCCWAACAAGGAATGACTCTGTGGTTTTTACATGACTTCCCTACTTCAACAACGGAACGGGCATCTGACCGGACGAGGTGCAACAAGTTTGTTCCCGGAGCCCATATGTCAGAGAAAGGTAGACGTCAGCAGAGGCATCGCATCCTGATAGGGCTTGATCGCTGCTCTTAGGAGAATTGAGCGCTCCCAGGCTCTCCTCTCGCCCTGCTCTCATTTCCAMGTCTCTGACACATGTTCATTTGCGTGTCTCTGACATGCGGATCATGTTGCGCATGCACAGAGGCTATGGCCTTTGATCCTGAAAGGCAAAAAAAAAAAAAAGGTACCGACGAGGAGTAGATGCTCGGAGAAAGGAAGTTTCAGAGCTCGATTTTTATCGGCCAAACGAAGTCGGCAAAAAGTCGGTCGTAGGGCGAGTAGCTTGAGGGTGTGTGACCAGTTGGAAAGACTTACACGTGAAGAGGGGGCATGGGGGATGGCTCGTAGATGTAAAGGCCCTGGGTGTGTCTGTCGTCGATTGGCACAGGAGGATGGAAGGTGGGGAAGAACTGTGGAGCAGCTGGGTAGAAACAGAAAAGAGAAAAACACACATTGGTTTACACTTTTGCTTTTTGTTTTTTAGCAGTTTTATCATGCATTGCCTAAAGCTGAAAGGCAAACACAYCATGTCTCTGTTACCAAAATATCTGAAAGACTGGACAAGTGTTAATGAAACTTGCAGAAAGTCATTACAGATACAACTGAATAGAAAGTGAACCAATGCAAGATGACTGCCACATTCATTTAAACCAAAAAACACTAAAATAGTGCTGGGCGGTATACCGTTTTGTACCGAATACCGGTTTTTATTTTTGTTATGATATGAATTTTTTGAATATCGGACATTCCGGTTTAAATAGCAGAACATTTCATCGCGGCCGCCAGTGAACTGTTGTTTCCCGGGGGACATTTTTTCCTTGTTGCACCGCTATGTGCGTTAGCATGCTAATGTTTGGAGAAGCTAGTTGCAGCCGCGGGTGGCGATTCTGCTGCTTATATTGACTGACATTTAAAAAAAAATCCCGTTTTCNATGCATTGCCTAAAGCTGAAAGGCAAACACATCATGTCTCTGTTACCAAAATATCTGAAAGACTGGACAAGTGTTAATGAAACTTGCAGAAAGTCGTTACAGATACAACTGAATAGAAAGTGAACCAATGCAAGATGACTGCCACATTCATTTAAACCAAAAAACACTAAAATAGTGCTGGGCGGTATAACGTTTTGTACCGAATACCGGTTTTTATGTTTGTTATGATATGAATTTTTTGCATACCGGACATTCCGGTTTAAATAGCGGAACGTTTCGTCGCGGCCGCCAGTGAACTGTTGTTTCCCGGGGGACATTTTTTCCTTGCTGCACCGCTATGTGCGTTAGCATGCTAATGTTTGGAGCAGCTAGTTGCAGCCGCGGGTGGCGATTCCGCTGCTTATATTGACTGACGTTTAAAAAAATATCCCATTTTTGCCGTCGCTGAATGTAGTAAACACCTCTTCAGTGACGTGCACAGTTAATATGGAGACGTTATGCTGATGGAGACTTAACGTGGTTCTATTGTGAAAAGCCTGCAGGAAGTAGTTCATTGTGGAGTTAGAATTGACTGGTGTGCAAGGTGAGTCGTGCTGATAAGCTTTAATAAATAACATAAAACAATAAACCCGATCATAATCTTTTCTTAACCTCCTCCTTCACGACTGGACCAAAATGTTTGACTACTGCCTCCAACCACCAGTCAGAGAAGAACAGACACAGAGGAGGGAAACAGAGACACAGACAGGGGTACAGTAAAAGAAAAAAAGTCAATATGCAGGGTTTGTACATTTTATTATCAGCTGAGCTGTGATGAAAAGAAAAATACCATCAATACCGTGAAACCAATGAAAATGTTGAAAATACCGTGATATAAAATTTTGATCATATCGCCCAGCTCTACACTTAAATGTCTATAACACAATCAAATCTACAGCTATTGATCTAAAATGTGATGCAGTAGTAGATTGGTTTGATTCCCAACACTTACTGTATTCTGAGCCCAAACACAGTGCAAAATGTTTGTATAAACTTTGACAGCAACTATTTTGAGTCAACTCTGTTAGCAAAATATCTCATAAATCAGTGGACTGCCTTCGATAAAACCTTCAGGTTATAATTATTTGATGTACTTCTATGATTGATGATGTTCCAGTGTCAACATAATTCAAAATGGCTGCCACAACCAACTGACAGAAAACACAAAAATGGCAACAAATCCTGCCAGTTTTTTAGATACTAAACAGATTTGGTGTAGTTGTCACTGAGATTCATTCACAAAACACACTCCAACTGCTTCCCAATATGTAAGCTTTTTTGCTTAAAATATTTACCTGTTGAAGTCAGACTTTTTCCACCAGTTAGAAAAATATCCTACTACCTGAAGTAATTTAAGTGTATTTGTATAATAAACATCATCTCAAGGCAATGTGAAAAAAAAAAAACAATCAATCTAAAGAAACCAGCAGATTGAGTTGAATCTCCAGTTTGTTGCTGTCCTTACTGAGCAGCACATTGGCAACAGCGGAAAGGAAAAACTCCCTTTGAACAGGAAGAAACCTCCAGCAGAACCAGGCTCAGGACGAGCAGTTAACTGCCTCGACCGGCTGGGTTTGAGTGGGCAGGAAAGATACAAACACAGAATGACTGGTAAATGATTGAAATGACACTTTTAGGCAGCAGTCAGCCTAATTTAAGATGGCTACATCTCCATCAATATTACGGAAATTGAGCTGAAGTTCGACCTGGTAGCTGAGAGTCATGCACAACACATACTCTGAGTGTGACGTGTCACAGTGTTGTACGAGTCTAAGCTTAAAGTTTAGCACAAAGTTTGTCCAAAACAATACATCTTGTGTCATTTCTCAACATAAGGTGATCGTAATCTAAAACTCTGGACGATGTGCATTCCTTCAAGGAATGCTAGGCTTTTATTTCCATGTGATATTGTTGGTTCCTTAACTAATCTACTGTAAATAGCAGCTATAATGAAAGGCAGTGGTCGATGCTATCTTTTTGCAGACCCACCCAAAAGAAAGCCGCGCTGCTCTRAAGTGTTTGCTGAGGAAGTCTTTGTAAACGTCTCAAGGCTGACAAAACTCAAAATAAACAGCGGTAAAGAGCCGAAAAGACAAACAGCCGAATGGCACACTGTGCCAAGCATAATATGGTTTCATACAAAGGACAACATTTAAGTACAACAAACAAAAACATCCTTTCCTATCTGAGTGTTTTGTCACAGCCGCCAGAGAAAATCCATAGGCTTCTTTCCCTTTTCCAGATAAAGCATCACAACATTTGCATAATATGGGCTTTCAAGCTATTATCTATTTTTACTCCTGAAATTGAAGCTGTTGCACTGCCATGCAGCTGAATTTCCACTCACCTTCTAACCTTAGCTCCGTAAACCTTTAAAAAACTAAGTCATGGTTTGAGCACCAGAACACCGACTCCTCTGGTGTCGGRCAAGTCGAAACATGCAAACCATGAGTAGGAATTTCAAGCAAGTGCTGAGCTGTAAAATTAAAATGCCCCRAAAGAGCAAAAGAGAATTATGTTTTTGTTTTGTTTTTTTGTGTGTGTGTTCAACATCTCCCTCTTMAAGCACGTGTCGCTTTATTGCCTGTTACCGAGGCCAAGTTGTGTCTCACCACCCCGAGGGAGAACGTGTGTCAACATCTGTCGAGCTTCACGCAACAAGTCGAACGCTGCGAGATATGTGTTTTTACTTCTTATTTTCCTTGTAAACATTTGAGCCAAGTAGGCAGATGGCCAAACGGTGGGGTGCCAAGCAGCTCTACAAGTGTTGGGCAATGACAAACGCAGCTGCGGYGCAGGGCAGAACAGCAGGTGTTGATCCAGGTCTGCTTACCTCATCATTCATTCATTCACTGGGAGGTTTGTTGCCAGCTGGAAATAAAACAGCAGCAATGAATAGGTTATTTGATATGTGTTGTTTTTAACCCTGCAGCGTTTAATTTTAACCTTTAAAAAATCTTTAAATGGGTAAAACGTAGGTGCACCTACATCTCATGTACAAAATTCATGTATTTTTTGCCTAAGCAGGCTCAAAAATCCAATAAAATTGATTTGACTAAGTATCTAAAAAAAGAACTAGAAAAAAATATGTGAACTTAAATTATGAGACAACTTAGACTATTTAAAATACTTAGTAAAAAGTCACTGTTTATGTACTTATGACTTCAGTAAATGTCTCATATTTAGCTTTGTGCAACATGTTGTAGTGGCAACTTGTATTAAAATACTTTATGACAGACAGCGTCTCTTAACACACACATAGGCTTGCCTTCAAATTATGTAAACAGATACTCTACCTCCCAATAAATATTTTATATTTTTATTTAACTTACTCTTTTTTTAAGTTAAAAAAATAATTTAAAAAAATTAGGGGTGTGGCCTCATTGGCAGGCCAGATGAAAGTCACCTGCAGGCAGGATGTGGCCTGCGGGCTGCCAAGTGCCCATCTCTGCTCTAAATTATGATTCTCCTAAAAGAGACAGTTCAGATCTTTTAAAGCTGGGTTTTTGTGGAAACATTTATCACCAATAATATTTTACCTGCTGCAAACAGCACTTTGAATGACCTCAGTTTATAGAAATGCTGCTGTCAGCAGAAGAGTATCCTGAGTTTTAGCATCTTGAGTTATTATGTGATGCAATTTAAGAGAAACGTTGACTCCCCCTTGTGTTCTTTATCTCATCTTTCGATATGTCCCCATTTTGTTACACGGGCCTTGCTTCCAAACCACCTGAGTGATGCAACTCGAGTATTTTTAACTTTATTTAAAGGTTCATCTTAGAGTGACAAACAGTATTATAAAGTTGTTTTAACAGGCTGTTGCAATCCCCTCGAGTAATAAACTGACTCGGACACGATGAGTTGTTGCACAAACATGATGCGCATCGAGCTGGCCAACACTTCTGTTTGTGAGGTAACTCACACACACGTAGTAAAACCTTTTCTTAGAGTTGATGCATGCAGAAATGAAGGGCCTGCATAAAACCTCGCCTGCCACATTTTATTCCAGACCTTTGAAATTGAATCATCTTATCATTTTGCTCGCTTTTTACCTTTTAGCTGCAAGCCATAAAAATGTCTGAGGATCAGTTCAGAGTCAACAAAGAGGGTATGAATGTGCCTTTTAAAGGCATGTACAGTCTTGAGTTTTAATTGTGGTACAGTGTGTAATTTTTAGCTTTCATACCCTGAACTACCCCTCGTAGCAACACTGAGCTCCAAACAAGTGAAACCAAAGTTTCTGAGTTTTAATCCGACGCTCACAGTATCAGAGATAAGTGGTAAAATCCTTCTCCATGAAGCTCTGGCGTGTATCTGAATGCTCCAGCTCTGGCAGACTGATAGTTTTCTCCTGATGTTTTTTTTTTTTTTTTGGCCGGGCAAACGCTGGCTGATCTCAGAGCTGCAGAGGGAGGGAGGGATGCTTGGATGAGCTCGCAGCAGACGAGGG